CACTAATAATGTGCCTCCAATTAGCATGCACCCCCCTCGGCCGTATGTACTAATCATTCATTTTTGAATAATGAATATGTGCCATTCAGCTAAAAAGCATGCTTAGTTTTTTTACAACTTCAAAAATTTATAGAAATTTATTAGGTCAAAATTTCTGCACAGCATAAATACATGTATACGCATCAGAAACTATAATAAAATTGGAGAATTCTTTCTTAGTGATTTTGGCAAAATATCCTGTACTACAGTGCAGGGACTTTGGTTTGATTTTGGAGAAACTTTTAAAATTCGTAAAAAAACAATTTTGATTGGAATCAACTCAAAGTTTTCATAAGTGCATGTATGTGTATCAGGAAAGTTATAAAAATAATGAATACAATTTTGGCAAAATTTGGCCAATTGCTGAGCAACTTAATAATTTTTAAATAGTTCAAAAAGCTTCTGCAGAACATAAGTACATGTATATGTATTGGAAAAAATTATAAAAAGTTATGATCGTTAATTCTTCTTTCCCACTCTCTCTAGCACTACTAAAGCAGGTTTTGTGCTAGGGATACTGTATGGTTTGAATCACACTCGTCAGTTTCTGAGCGATTCAGATTGTGTTGTACTTGGTGCTGTATTCCTCGTGTCATTACAACTTTATAATTTATGGTATGATCAGGTCACAGATCCTTTCAAGAGACCGCAAGAGATGATGTGGTCATATCTAGCAAGATCCATCAATCAAACAAACTCTAGTGACCCAGTAGAGGGGTCTGATACTGATGCTAACACTGATTCTAAAGCTGATTTTAACACTGATTCTGATCTCATTACTGGTACAAGTGGAATGAAGCAAAGGATGATGACAAAGGCAACCTCTAGTGAACACTGATGTCATTCACAAGTAGCTGTTATGCAGTCATTTTACTGAGGAAATACATTATAGCATGACAATAAATAATAAGTAGTATTTATACAAGGTGAATATTGTAGTATATTATCTACTAGCTGTTCTCCAATCTTCACCTATAAAATATACTTTGCAGTTTGCAGGCATGGCAGTTCCCTCTCTCCTCTTTCTATCTTTTGTTATAATCAATTTTACTGTACAATTTTCATTTTAAATACAATTCAACACAAAACTAATCAACAATATTATGAATGTGTGACAGCTTGTGTTTTTACAAGTTACTTTTTAGCAGGTAATGGCGCCTGAGGCCATGCAGTACCAGCCTGGTATCCTGCTTGCTTCTGAGCCCAAGCAATCTGCTGCTGCTGCTGCTGTTGCATCCATTGAGCATAATACTGACTCCCTTGTTGCACTGAGTATTGTACACTTCCCGCAGGAGCCTGTTGAGACCACTGGGCCATTCCTTGAGGCTGGGGATACTGAGGAGTCTGACCTCCAGTCTGAGGATACTGAACCGTTTGGGCCTGAGGATACTGAGCAGTCTGAGTCTGAATATATTGACTCGCAGTTTGGGCCTGAGGAGCATATTGAACAGTTTGAGTGTGAGGATACTGAACAGTTTGAGCCTGAGGATACTGAGCAGTCTGAGGATATTGGGTCTGAGCAATTTGACTTGCAGTTTGGGTTTGAAGGTATTGAGTGGTTTGGGTCTGAGGCTGGCTAGACTGGGTCTGATTCCAAGCATGTTGCTGGGGAGCTGGGTACTGCACTTGTTGTGTGGATGCCATCTGATTCCACTGAGTCTGGTTGATCTGATTTTGATTCCAAGACTGAAAGGGATACTGTGCAGTAGGAGGAGGAACAGAAGGAGCAACTGGAGGAGCAACCCGAGGTACTGCTGGAGGAGCAACCGGAGGTACTGCAGGAGGAGCAACTAGAGGTACTGCTGGAGGACCAACTTGAGGTACTGCTGGAGGAGTTGGTTGCTGTTGCTGATAATTTGTATTAATTTGAGTGGGAGGTATTGGGGCAGTCCCAGGGTTGGTATTAGGATACCCTCTTGCAGTTTTCTTTTGAAAGTTCATACTGTGTTCCCCATTAGTAAAATGCTCAGACCACTCCTTCTTGTCGTACGTTTTCTCACAGACGTCACAGTACTGCGTCCCTGGGGCCACGCCTCCAGTTGTGTTTCCACCTACAAGTACATTACAAGCGTGTTCGGTACTCTTGAAATGTATATCTAAACTTTGTTGGTTGACACAAGTCACTTTACAAATCTCACAATAGTAGGACTGGAAAGGTTGTATGGTAGCAACAGGTGTGCTCCCCATGACTCCAGCTCCCTCTAAGGCTGACTTTCGTACCATGCCCTGGTGTCTTTTACCAACCAGGTGCTTTTTAAATTCCTCGAAACTGGTTGCATAGACGTTGCATAATTTACACTGAAGTGGCAATGCCCCTTTGTAGGTTTCCTCCGGAGCCGGTTCACCTGTGGGTTCTATCTCCTCTTCCCCTAACTCTTCCTCACTGAACATGTTCTTAAAAGATGGTAAAACTCGCCCTCTAAATTTCCAGTTCTTTTCAGCATCAATGTGGGCTGCACTGGCTATGTGTGGTCCTAACTGATCACTGAAAGGCGTCCCACGACACACTTTGCAATATAGAAACTTTACCTGAGGAGGAGGAACCAAAGTATTCCCAAAGGCTTCGTTGACTTCTTTAGCAGCTTCACTCAAAGTCCCTATCTCATCCTCTATTCCCAACTTACGGAGGGTTTTCAAATGCTTGGCTCCTAAAAGGTGGATCTGCAACTGCTCGATATCTGTCGTCGTCACATCACAGAAGCTACAGTACAAAGACTTGCCCTTTTCTTCAACGTTTGGTAGCTCCCTCTCTTCTCCTTCGTAAAACGTACAGTCATCAAATGGTTGAGATCTTTGAGGCGGGCCACCGCCACGGCCACCACGACCTCTTGATGGAGGACGACCGCCACGTCCCCTTGATCTTGGAGGACGCTCTCTGCTTCTAAATGACTGACCAAAATGGGAGTCAGTATCTCCCATAAAATCAGGATTGATTCGAGGGTTTTTCAAAGGAGGCTCCATTTCGTTCATTGTCCTTTTATGAGAGCCCATCCCATGCTGGTAGTCAAACGACTCTACTAGTTTTGGACCTTCTAAATCAAATGGAAAGTCATCTTCTCTTGATCTTCTTAGCCTTGGAGGCTCCTCCCTTCTTCTATCACGTTCGTCCCACCATGGTAGCTCCTCTCTTACTCTTTCTCGCGGCCTCTTTAGATCTTCTCTGGATCTCCTGGGAGGTGAACGAGGCGGTGAACGACGAGGAATTCTCTTGAAATGTGGTGATGGCGGTCTCCTGTGTTTAGAACCAGAGCCGTCGGGGCATTTTTCCTCGAGCCATTTTGGGTAGTGTCCCGGTTTTTGAGGCTTTTCGTTGATGTATTTAGAGAGCCACTCTGGTCCTCCTTCACTGAGTTCACCCCGAGACTCCCTCTCCTCTCCTTTGCCTGACATAGAAATAAGTAAGTCAAAATTTTTGTTACAAATACAAAGTCTACATGTGCTTCTATTATTTTAAGCAAAATTATGTAGCGGTCTACTTCCTGCTGTGCTTCCTGCAGGCCTGAATTCATTTAGCATTGATACTGCAGTGTGCATGTTTAAAGCATTCGCCCCTTTATTATTATTTGAAGCAATCGCCCCTTTTTAATTTTTTTTCAATCTCTCTCATCT